GAAGATATATGTGAGCTAATACACTCACCATGTGGACCATTTCTTTATTATAGCCCCTGTTTGGCATCCATTCTTTCTATTTTTTTCCAATTCATTTTGCTACAGTTGTGGGCCCCATGTACATTTTCCTGTCATTTTTAACCAACAACAGCAGGCCTGCATGGCCAGCTCAACACTTTGCAGTACACATTAATTTACACCCACAAATGCCCTTCAATTTTTTGTTTGCTTTGCCTTCAATAAAATGCAAATTTACACTTTCAATGAGGGCAAAATGGGAAATTAAAGGCAACGGTAATATTCAATTGAAATGAGTAGTCTGACACAAGTCAAATTCATCCTTAGTGTGTCCAATCTTCTTCCTGTTGCAAAATGAATTCTATTCCAAAATGGGAAAAACAGATGCCAAACGGGGGCTATATTAATTGATTCTTCTACTAGATAGTCACATGTTTGCTTACTTTCCATTAGAAATGTAACTTTTGCTAGATTATTTATCCACATCATAAAATTACGAGTTCAATTTCTTGATTACTCAATCAAGAAAACTCTTCTGGATAATGCCGTGAATTTAGGTCACAAGCATTCGATGATTACTGTATATGAATTGAGATTGTTATTAAACAATTGATTTCACATGTCCATACGCAAAATGGTTTAGCATAGTCATTTATTAAACGTTTACAACTTATTGTTAAATCATTATTTTTGAAAATAAAACTCTCAACTTATGTTTGGGATCATGTCATATAACTTGTTGCATTATTGGTTCGTATAAGACCAACTGCTTATTATAAATATTCACATTTACAACTTGCATTTGGTTATAAACCATATATTTCCACCTACGAGTTTTCAATTGTGCTGTCCAAGCCCCTATTTCACCCCCACAGCGTACTAAAATGGGCTTCTAACGAAAACTTGGGATTTATGTTGGTTTTAATTCACAATCTATTATTAGATATCTCGAATTGTTAACGGGGTGTCCTTTTCACTGCACATTTCGCAAATTGTCATTTTGATTAAATGAATTTTCCAACATTTGAAGGGATAAAACTACATCTTGAAAAACAAGGTAAAATTTCTGAAATGAATCAACTTCATCTCACTTAGATCCTTGTAGAAATCAATGTAAGCAAGAGGTTTAAAAAATCATTCACTTGCAAAGAGTTTCAAATCAATTACATGATGAATTCATTGATACAATAAAAATGACAAAATTATATATACTAGTAGAAAATATTTCAGTAAAAATTGATGTCCCTGTTAGATAATGTAGGAAATGAATCTCAAATACGTTAAAAATGTGGTCGATCGATTGGGTCAAAAGACTTTGTATCTCGAAAAAGAAAAATACATGAGAAAAATCATCCAAAAACTTCGGAAAAAGTAATATTAGAAAATATTGATCAAAAAATCGAAAATATAGTTCCTGTAAAAACCACAAGTATTCGAAAATAACGAGACTTCAATAAATTATGTGCTAACTCATAAATTATGGAAACAAAATAATATTGTTATACATAATATTTTCGTCTTTAATGTGACTCTTGAAATTATACGAAATCAGATCCTGAACCACAGTCTGTTAAAGTCTGCCAACATAGAAATAATTGGCAAAAATGAAAAGAAGTCATACGGGCGGAGTTGAATTCCTTAGAGAAATGAAACGTCTTTGGACTTGTAATTTGAATACCTGAAAATGTAATCCCTGTAGGATATAAGTAGATTTTTGTACGGAATATAAATGAAAATAATGAAATTACAAGATACAACATCCGATTCGTAGCTCAAGGTTTCTTACAAAGACCTGGAATTGATTATGAGGAAACATATTCTCGCGTAATGGACACTTCAGATTCTTAATTAGTTTGACTATGTCACAAAAGCTCAACATGCACCTTATGGATATAGTTGTCTATCTCTGTAGTTCACTTGATAGTGACATATATATGAAGTTCTCGAAGGATTTAAATTTCCAAGAAAATTTTTACATACTTGAGAACTATGCTATTAATTAAATTGCAAAGATCATTTATGAATTGAAACAATCCAGACTCATGTGACATATTCGCATATTCGTCTTAGCGAATATTTGTTGAAGGAATGTAATAAAAATGACAATATCTGTTCATGTGTTTTCATGCAGAAAACATATATTGGATTTTTAATTGTGACAGTTTATATTGATGATTTAAATTTAGTTGGAAGTCTTGAAGAGCTCAACAAAACTTTAAATTATTTGAGATGAAAGAATATGGAAAAATTAAGTTTTTTCTTATGTTTTTACATTGAAATTTTACAGAAGGATTATTTGTTCATCCAATCTTCTTATGCAGAAAAAAAGTCTTAAAATGTTTTTATATGGATAAAGCACATCCATTGACATCACATATGGGTGTTCGATCATCAAATGTGAAAAAAGGTCCATTTCGTCAACTTGAAGATGGATAAAAAGTTATTGGTTCTAAAGTGACACATCTTAGTGCAATTGGAGCATTAATCTATCTTGCAAATTGTACTCGACATGACATAGCTTTTTCTATAAATCTCTTTACTAGATTTAGCTCTACACCAACTCAAAGACATTAACATGGTGCTAAACATATTTTTCGTTACCTAATAGGTACTATTAATTTGAGATTATTATTCTCAAAAGTCAGGATCTGCTTTAGTGGGATATGCAGATGTAGATTCTCTCTCTGATCCACATAAAGCTAAATCACAAATAGAATATGTGTTTACACATGAACAAACAGCTATATCATGGAAATCTGTGAAGCAAAACTTGACACATCTTTAAATCATTCTAAAATTATTGAAATCCATGAAACATGTCGATAATATGTATGATTGAGGAATATGACCAATCATATCCAAGCATTATACAGATTAACTTCAACAATAGATAGTTTAACAATTTGTATGAAGACAATGTAGCTTGTATTGCCAACTCGGGATTGAGCCAGGGCCGTAGAGCTAAGAGTAGACTATTTTTTTTACTGATATATATATATAATTTCTTACACATAATTGGTCTTGGACTGCCCCGTGCGAAAGCATAGAGTGACCCTTTCATAATAATAATAATAATAATAATTTTGTGAGATGTTGATAGCAAGTTTCATTCTTCATTATACCAGTGTTCTAAAAGGCGGCTTTTAGGTGTGAAGCAGAGCAAAACACTTTGCTTTGAGCTTTTTCATTTTTTTTTACTTTTCCACACCTAGCGCACACTTTTTTTTAATTTTTTTTTCGCTTTTTTACGGTTTTCAAACGTTTTTATGCTTTTTCCTTCAATTATTACAAAGTTTTTAAATTAATTTAAAATTTAAAATTAATATTAAAATAAGAAATCATTTTTTACGCTTTTTAATGCCTAGGCCCAAGGGCAGATATAGGATATTAAGTCAGCTAGGGCAGTCGCTGATGACCGCAATAATAAGATTTTTTATTAATATTTAATTAAATTATGTTAAAAAAATTTCAATCAATACAATATAAAATAATAAGAAAAAAAATACTCAATCATACATGTACGATTAAGTTTTAATTTTTTTACAAATTCAAATGAAACTGTTTATACGTAAAACATCATTAAATGATAAAAACAAACTCCGAGTTTAGGCGAAGGTTATGCAAAATTTTGAAAACAATGATTTTTAAAACTAAAATTATTTTCACCTCAAAAGAAAAAGTATTTTTCAAACTTTAAAATAAATAAAGAACATTCAGACTGTCCAAATTTGAATTTTATAAAATAAATTAATAAAATCTAACAATAAAAATATATATCATAGAGTAATAATTTGAGTTGATAAATTTTTTAAAGAAATTATTTCGAAAACAAAAACTAATAATATACAATTGTTTAGTTATTGTAATTAAAAATTAAACAAAAAGTAGAAAAACAAATAATTGAACCCCATACCTCTAGTGCATTTAATGACTCATTTACCATTTGAGCTACCATTCTTTTTGTTGAATATTGATACAATTATTAATTAATATTAGTCATTATTTACTGTGTATAAAAATTAGAAGAGAGAATGTTATTGAAGGGAATCGAACGCAAGCATCTCACATGGAAAGACATCCTCTCTTCCAAATGATCTACACAGCATTTCAATAAAAGTTACACAATAACACACACACACACACACATATAAATTTTTTTTTTTTTCATAAATCTTATTTAATTTTTTTCCCGGTGGATCTAGCAAGGGCGGCCCCCTCGGCACGTCGGGTGCTGGATCCACCCCTGCCTAGGCCAAAGCTTGGTCACCACACTTTGCACGTTTTACACTTTTTAAAACACCGATTATACACTTTTAAAATAACTTACCGCATTGTATTACCCATATCTGCTGAACTCCAACAAATGTTGCCCGAACAAAATGACTATAAATAATTTGGCATTTAATATTCTTAAATTAATTTGTGTTACCAATAGTCGCCACAATTACATGCACCACCGCTGAAGTGGTGGAAACGGTTAGGATCACGCAGGACTATTGTTCTTCCCACAATCTTGGATATGTGTTTGATTGCAGTGTGGCAGTCTGCACAAACCCGCAAGTTTTTGAAAACACGAATTGGTCTCCCAGCTGGAATCTTAATAATCCCAAAAGCGACAGCTAATTTCTCACTGTGATACTTGAGCATATGCTGTTTTTCCTCTTCCTCTACATCATGCAAAACCAATTTTGTGGCTGTGACATAACCATCACGTTTGATCTGTAAATCTATCTCCTCCAAGAAAGCATATATTCTGCCACTCTCGGGATGGCTGGAGTCTCCGACTGAAAATGAATGGATTTTGTTTTGCACTTCAACCCAACTGTATCCAGGTACTTTTTTAACACCAGTATCCCTCATTTTTAATCTCATCTTACCAACATCGGCCCACCTGCCTGAAGCTGCATATAAGTTGGAAAGTAGGACATACATCCCGGCATTCCAAGGTTCCAAAGCAAATATCATTTCAGCAGCCTTTTCTCCTAACTCAGTATTGCCATGAATCCTGCTGGCACCAAGAAGAGCTCCCCAAGTTGCTGCATCTGGTTCAAAAGGCATACTTTTCATCAAATTTTGAGCATCATCTAGGCGTCCAGCCCGACCCAGAAGATCAACCATGGATGTATAGTGCTTTGAATTTGCCAATATGCCATAATCATGACTCATGGAGTAGAAGTACTCTCTGCCTCTGTCTACCAAGCCAGTATGACTACATGCAGACAAAACACCAACCTATACGTAAAGAGAAACCACAAATCAATACTCAAAATTGATGGAGAGATATTCCACTCATAAAGAGAACATAGGAAAAAAATAAAAAAAATTGGAAGCCTTTTTCATTCATCAGCTGAAAAATTAAACTTCAGATGACCAGAACTTCATGTGTAAGTTCGGATCATTTAGAAATATATACTCTTTAGCAATACGGTAAAAAACCAATCAAACTAGGAACTCTTCTTTGGATCAGGAATCTGCTCTTTCTTTCTTTATTCATTATTTCATCATCTTAAGGTCAATCATTTGTAAAGGTTATGCATAAGAAAAATATCAACGAATGGCTTCTGAGATATCAGTCAAATGTCAAACCAGGTTCAAATACTTCCAATTCAAGTTCAGTTGGCATGTAAAGCACTCGAGAGACTGTTTGTGCAAATACAACAGACTTTTCCCCTAGGGACCAAAATGACATTGCTTAAAATTTATAAGGTAAACAGGTCAAGTTTACCATGGTAACATCATCTGGCCGGATAGATGCTCTCTTCATTGATTCGAAAAGAGTGAGAGCCTCTTTCCCAAATCCATGCCTTGCATAGCCAATAATAATTGTGTTCCATGAGACTACATCCTTGTCCTGGATACCCTTAAATACTTCGTGTGCCTCATCAATGCTTCCACACCGACAATACATAGCAAGAAGAGCATTTCCCACGTAGCACCCAGATTCATATCCTGCTTTAAAAGCACATCCATGTATTTGCTTCCCTAACTCAAAAGCAGCTACATCGGCACATGTACTCAAGATACTAGTAAATGCTGATCGGTTTAACCTCTCCCCATCTCTTTTCATTTCCACAAACATTTGTAATGCCTCCTCGCTGTCACCACATTGCGAATAGCCAGAAATCATAGCTGCCCAAGAGATGCAATCCCGACAAGGTATCCTGTCAAACAAAGTTCTGGCATGTGCAATTTCACCATTTTGAGCATACCCAGTTATCATTGTGTTCCAAGTACTAACATTTCTCCAGGGCATTGCTTCAAACAACTCCTTCGCTGCATCCATATTCTTATTTTGCACATATCCTGCTATCATTGCATTCCACGAAACAATATTCTTCTCTGGCATCTCATTGAAAATTCCCCTTGCCTCATCTAACCTTCCATTTTGTACATATCCAGACACCATAGCTGTCCATGTAAACACATCGCGAAATGGAGACTCTTCAAACAATTTCCTTGCCTCATCCAGCTTCCCATTTTGCGCATAACATGTAATCATTGTGTTCCATGAGACCTCGTCCCTGACTGGCATTTGTTGAAAAATCTGCTTTGCCTCGACCAACCTCCTCTTCTTCAAGTAGGCACCCATTAAACAATTCCATGAAACCACTGCCCAATGCTCTTTAGTCTCGAACAACCTCCTAGCCTCTTCTATCATCCCATTTTGCACATAAGCCGCGAGGATCCCATTCCATGAGATCTCATTCTTCTCAGGCATCGCATCGAAAATCCTCCTAGCCTCATCTACGAACCCGTTCTGCGCATATCCCGACAATATCGTGTTCCATGAGACAACATCCCTTTCCGGCATTTGATCAAACAAATGCCTAGCAGCCCCAAGATTCTTGTTCCTTATATGACCACTAATTATAATATTCCAAGAAACCAAGTCCTTCTCAGGCATTTGATCGAACATATTACTGGCGAGCTCAAACATTTGATTCGACAAGAACCCAGAAATCATTGTGTTGTAGGAGACCGAAGTTTTCCTGGGCATGGAATTGAACAAACGCAGAGCGGAGTCACATTGTCCATTCCGCATATGGATCGTGATGGCGATGTTGCATTTCACAATGTCGGAGTCTTTGAACTTGTTCTTTTTAAGTTTTGGCGGAGAATTTCTACTGGGCCCTTCGAGAGAATTGTGGGTTCTGTGATGTGGAAGTGTTGTAATTGGAGAATGGGATGATGTCCTGGATTGCAGTGAGCGCAAGCATCTGTGTACCTGTCTAAAGCGCATAGTTTCAATGAAACTCTCGTTTCAGTTAGTACAGTTTTGAAATTCGGTAGTTAGGTTCGCGGTCTCTCGGAGCAATCGTTTGGAAAATAACAGCCCCAACCTATCTACAAAACGGAGCACTCACGTTACCTTTGTTACGATTTTGTTACCCCTTTAGTCCTTTTTTTCATTTTCCGTCAAAAATAATTAAAATAGCATGTTATGAATAATATTGAATACATTGAAAAAAATCTTCAAAAACCTCATTGTTTTTAGGTAAAGGATTTGAGTCACTGTGGTCGTTCCATCCGTCACTTTGGGACGGCGGCTAGGGTTTCTTTCGGCGAAGGATGCAAAAACTTCGGGGATGATTACAATGAATAGAAAAGATCTTACAAAACTTTGTGTGGAAATGAGATTAAGAAATGACAATGGACTAGCGCACAGGGTTCAACACGCAGTTCTGCTTTGTTTGGTAGGGTACTAGGTAATTGGGCAATCAATAAGGAGGGCCTTATGGGGGTATTGAACACTAGTTTGGGGTTGACGAAATAGTAGGATTCAATACTTTTATATTCCACTTCAGCAGCACTACGGATATACCAAGGGTTCTCCTGGGAGGACAGTAGATGTTTAACAAACATCAGGTTTTCCTAGTGAAGCCAACGAGACCTAGTGCAGTGACCAATAAAAAGTTCTCCCATGTATCAATTTGGCTTTAAATTCATCTTGTGCCAATGGTCCTAGCTGTGGAGGAATGTGCCCAATGGGGGTGTCGATCTTAAGGGGCAATGTGTGAGATATTTGGGTAAGGGTCGAAATAACAAAACCTTTAAAGAGGAGAATTAATGTTTATGTTTAGAATTTGCAAACGAAATTATTTTTATTAATTCAGTACAAGAGATTGTTCAAAGTTTGTTTCAATTGTGGTGCCGTGGGGGCGCATGGAAGGTGAGTGCTAACAGGGAATGAGGTCATGAGTGCAAATAAGGGAGGTGTTCGTACAAACCCTGAAAGCATAAGAGATAATATGCGATGAGTTGAGTATCATCCCACGAGTAACAATTTCTAATTAGCACTAATCTTGTATCGAATTCAAAGTTTATTGTAACACAACAGATTATGATTTATAACTATTCTAATGAATATGTAAAAAAATTTGTATTGAATGAATGAATGATTGTATTGAACTTCAAAATATGCCCATTATTATTATTATTATTATTATTATTATTATCTATTTTCAATTCTCAACTATGTAATTTAGTGTTATTCGTGCATTACTGACAATTGATAAATCTCTTGTATTCAACTTTCTTTTCCAAGATAATTTAAGTCTATTTTATACACGACTCGATCCTACTCCTAGTTCGAATTCATATGAATAGAACACATTCAAATACACGATAAATCAATAAGGTTGCACACTATATGTATTATACCTAAAATCTATTACTGGTGCATTAATCATGCAATGTTCTACGTATTGTGGGTTTCTCAACACTACAACAAGCAACTAATTACCTAATTGGTGATCAAGTGACTCAAATGCTTTACCTTAAAATAAGCATGATTAATTAAGAAAAATAAGAATTACTAAACTAAATAAATAAGCAAAAATGTTCATCTTCATCCAATACAAATAAATATATAGCCTAACATAATTTCTATTATATTACAAGAAGAATAATGAAATGTTACATGAAGAATAATGAATAGATATCACCCGGAACATGAATGAATGCAAGAGATCTTATCCTTCAATTCCAAGCTCGAAATCTTTAAGTTCTTGATGTAATTGGCTTTTAATTTTTGCTAGGTTTGATAACAATTAATCTCATTTAATAGCCCATATTAGTGTACATAATATATTTATCAAACATCTCAAACTTGAAAAATTGTTTATCCTCAAACAAACTAGAGATCGGCTTACACAAAGTTTTTTAAACATAGTTAGATTACTGGGCGTTGGTCTCAAGATTAGAATTTTTGTGTTAAAAAAACTACAAATTGTTTTAAAATACATTGTTGAAGTTAATTTCTGCTCATTCGATGCAAAACTGACACGTGTGTGTGAATATTCGTGTATAGCATAATAAATTCATAAATTGATTCAAATATAGATCCTCAAATGTCTAACTTGTCATTTCCTCTCTCATGAGATGCACACCCTCAAACTTATTCCTTTCACTCTTTTCCCAAGATGTGATCTAAGGTTGAATTTATATATAGTAATCCTCTCCCTTTCCAGTTTGGTTGGATTTCACTAATTGAAAATTAACACTACAATAAATAAGAATTCTTCTATATTTTGACTGCATCAACCTCTAAGATTAAATTGGGTTAATAATCTCTTATTAAAAGTTTAATTCTTTCAAACAAGTGTTAGGGGTTTAATCAAAGTATGTAGTACATTTCTGTTTTATGCACCTGCTTTTTCATATTTGCTGTGAGTATTTTATTTCATGCATTAGCTTGATCTATTTTTTGAGTTTTCATTTTGGGATTTTTAATAAGTTTCCTCATTGAGATCTTTTACAGGGTAGCTTTTTTTTTTTTTTCAATGTCT